TTGCAGTGGTCTAACCAAATAATAATTACATATTGTAAATAATCATAAGATCCATTGTATAAAGAATATGTAAAAGTAAATAATCTAAATTGTAGAATTGTTATGGCAGGAAAAAAAATTAAGAAACAAAAATAAAATAAAAATGAAATTATCAACAAAAATACAATAAAATATAACAATGACAATATGATATGACAATGAATATGATGATAAAATTATTAAAAATAAATAAATAATCTACCTACTAACAAATAAATTGTAACAAAACCAAATAGATATAAATATTGTAAATCCCCTATACTACGATACTAACATAAACAAATTGTAACAAAAACGAAAGGATATAAAAATATAAATCTTGAGCAGAGATGGGCAGATTAAGAGGAGAGTCAGCAATAGGAGTGACAAAGACAGGAGATTTTATTAGCAGGCCAGTACCTTATTTTACTTAGATCCAGTAAATATAGATAGTTATTTAATGAAGTTTTTATATTAAATAGTCAAATATATGGGCCGTTGTTACTTTGCATCTGAGATGGGGTGAAGCTAAACAGCTCAAAAAAAAAAACTAGTTAACAGTTGCTTATGCCGTTGTCAGTTGTCTTATTTGTAGGTATCAAAAAAAAAAATTTTTTTCAAAATAAATATTAATTTCGTATGTAACAAAATATCGCAAAACCTTTAAAGGTTAGGAAGATATAGAAAATATATTGGATATATAATTTTTTACTGAAATTTGGATCAGCATATGTATTTTTTTCTTAGTCACACGATAACTGTCATTTAGATGCATACATAATATTTCGCAAAGATTCACGTAATCATGTGTTCCCTATAAACTTGTGATTCAATGTTGGGATTTAATTTCTATTACATAAATAAAAAAATGTGTTATGAAACTTACTACCTATCTATTTATATTATTACCTTCATATGTGTTCATTATGAGAATCAGTAATTGGCAAAAAGTTTTTATAATGAATGTAAAATATTAAAGTGTTAATAAAAAGCAACACAAAATAACTGTACCTTTACTCACAACAAAAGGGAATGTATACCGTTACTGTTCTTTTCATGCAAAACGTAACAAATAAAACATAACTAATTGGTTTAATGAACTAGTGAATGTGTCTATTAATCAGTACATAATAATTGCAAATCTAGCATAACCGTGCAGTACTGCATATATTTTATTGGTAAAGTGAATTATTGTTTTTTATGATTTACAAGTATTGGGATATTATATGCGTATTTAAAAAATTATATTTAATAAAACAATTTTTACAAGAATATATTAAAAATAGAACATGTAACAAACAACACACTGAATATTAATATTTCTATTGTTATACAGAGCGGAAAGTTTAGTTGGAATAAAATTTACAGAATTTGTTCAGTTAAACTTTCGAGCGTACGAAAATTTATCAGAGGATAAACCAGGCCAAAATAAAATTAAAATTCTTATAAAATGCACTCTCACTGAGTTACAGGGTGTTGTTTAGAAAAAAATCATAACATCTATTAAACGTCATTAAAACTACATGGTCCTTATTTCGATCTGACGCTAGAAGCGGCCCAGGCCCATTTTTCGTCTAGGTCATGTCTTCATAATTTTATGTAATTTGATTAAGTTTTCCTGAATCTGCAATCAATTCTGAACAAAAATATGTGCTTTCATAGCTCAAAAATGTATGCTCACACTGGGACACCCTGCATAAGCAATTATGTCCAGGGTTTGCCAACCTATGCGATTGATACATGTACCATCAATTATATTTTGTGGTAGCTATTCCCATTCTTCTATGATAGTTTGCTCCAATTTAAAAAAAAATATGTATTTCATTTTTAGCTCGCGTATTTTCCCCTTAATTTAAGCTAGCTCAAATAAATTAAAATTTTACCAGCACTTTGACACTGTCATTAATAGATTTTTGGTATCGAATAATCTGTTTTGATTTCGTTTGACAGTTTAAGAAAAAAATTTTTGAATTTACTGGATTCAGCTTAATGCTATTGAAATAAAGTAGTAATTAATATTTTGTAGTGGCTAGCAAAGTGTATAAATACGTTGCTATAGAGCATCCCATACCCGCTCTATGTAGTTAAGGTTAGGCTGGCCATAGAATACGATACCATTACCATTACAATTATTGGGAAGAGATGGCATCATCATCTACGTAAGTAAAACTTGTACATGTTCCTATGCTCTACGAGAACAAATCTCAAAGCTCGATCCAAATCCCGCTGCGTATTCACAATTTCATTTCTGAAAATAACGGGATTAGTATTTCTACTCAAAAATTTATTTATTGTTTGATATTCAACAATAACATTTAACTTTAAAAATTTATGTTTCTGTTTTTTTTTTGAACATCTTATATAAATTTCATGTATAATATATCTGTCAAATTAGGGTAAAAAAAGAATGACAGCCACTGGATAATTTAAAAAATACACTTCCTTCAGCATATCTCAATTTTTGAGTTCTTTAACATTTATTTGAAAAAAACAGCAATAGCCTTAATATATATTTTAAACAAATGAATAATTACTTAACTAAAAATATTTTTGGATTGTAAAGAAATCACTAAATAATTACCACAATTAAAATGTACCTCAATAGATTCCGATAGGATTTAAGATTTTAAAGTAAGGTACCAGCATAATTTCGCTATTTTCAAACATAACTTGATACTAGAAAATTGCGCAATATTTTCACACCTTTAATAAATCTAAAATTCCTATTAAATTCCTTAAAATATTAAAATTAAAATTAAAAAAAAATTAAAAAAATAAAAAAATTAAAATTCCTATTAAATTTCCTATTTTTCAACAATGAAGAGCATTAGGATATTATAAAAGTTCATTTGATTTAAAACAAGGTGGGTTCTCGAAGTTGCTTTCCAAAAGAAAAAAATACACAGCCCGAGGAATATTGTTTTGTTCTTTCAGACGATAAAGGTCCTGATATACGTCTGTATTATAATGGGTGCTTTTTTAACCTGAATCTGTCAAATATTTCAAGAAATATAAGCATCCTACGAAAAATATGTTAGTAATCAAATCCCTCTCCCCTACCCTTGTAGATGGAGAGTGGGTAACATTGTAAACTTAAATAGAAACCCCCATTGTTTAATGCAGATTCGAATTCTACTGCTAAAAGTATATAAGATTTGTCTGAAAATTTTTTTTTCGATTCATAGATGGCGTTGTAATCGACGACATTTAATTTTTCCGCTTTTCACCTATTGAGAACGTATGTATCCGATTCTACAATGCGTTTGCAATAAAAAATACACATTTTTATACACATACTCGAAATGTGTCGCCAAAAAAGTTTATTCAATTTGCAAATTTCGAATAACTGGGAAAGTGTTATCTGTAGAAATGTAAATGGCTGCTGAATAAACACAATTGTTAAATGTAAACGTAATAAAACGTTTTTATAAAAATTATTTTTAACAAAGGAAATGGTATCTTTAAAACAAAATACAAAAAAGTATTTGAAAGCAGATTTAATCTAGCACTCTGATAAGTTATAATAAGGAAATCGCGTTAGTCAAGTATCTCAAAAAGAATGCCTGTTCCCTGGTTACGAAAATAGTAGTTTTTTGACAAGTCAGTTTTCAGTATAATTGAAATTTTGAGAAATAACATTTGTTTTAAAACTAATTTTGATTGTTTACTTTGAAAACGTGGTATTTTTTATTGCAAACTATTACAGAATCGTATGCATAGGTTCAGTTTGATTAAATTTGGATAATGGACATTTTTTTCGTAGAGCGCTTGTTTCTAGAGAAAGATTCAGGTTAAGAAAATCACCAGGTATAATGCTCACGAAGTGCCTATGAAAAATATGTTGGATTGTATAAGGAAAAAGGCTTAAAATATTTACTGTGATTGTAAAAATTCAGTGTATCTACTGATTTTAGGTTCGTTTGCAGAGATTTACAATAAATCAAATTTAATTAGTTTTTCTCTTAAAATCCATCATGGAAGGGGATTGTATCGAATTTTCGGTAAAGTCAAAATTCATACACGAACAGAACCATAACTATAATGACATCTAGCTTAACATGACTTAACTGTTGTAAGCATCCTATATTAGACTTTTATTTTTTACATTGATTGGTAAAATTAGAAGAATAATAATAGTAGATCCTGTTCTGCACTTCCAAATACTTTCATGTGCTACCTGTATTCAAAAATATACGCAAATGTGCCTGCAAGTAGTTGCTTTTAAGTAAGACATTAAATACCAACTTTTGGCTACGATTTTCTTGATAATAATGTTAGTTATTTCATTTAATCGTACACATTCAATAGAAACATTTGAAAGCCCAATTAAGAGAAGTGTGTATGTCATTATTTTGCAAATCAACACGCAATTCACTGATCTAAATATGGTTAACAAAATAATTTATAACAATTTGAATGTGCTGAACACTATTATTTATTGCAGATTATGCTCGTAACTACCATTCACTTTCAAGGACTGTTATTGAGCAAGTTATGTTTACTAATTACTTAAAAAATTAAACTGAAAGTCTGCATGCTTAAAACGCTATTAAATAATTAACGCGCTTAATAATATGCACGTATTTTATATGTTTCTTTTGAAATAGAAGGAGGAAATGCAGAAATACTCAGGAAAGTGCTAGCCTGACACCTGTGGAGACTGCTATGAGGAAATTATTTTTCTGAACTGCTTAGAACATCTTTTTCTGAGAAGGTGAAGAACGTCTTCTCTATCACAGTGAATTTAAGAATATTTCGTTATATTCTAGAATTTCTTTTTTTCAATTTGATAGATGATAGTCAAGTCATATTTTACTTATGTGTATCTAATACTTTGGAAGACTTTCATTTACATTTACTTGAACATTTTATCCTACTCTTTTTGCTAACGAATGCATAATAGGTACTACAATAACTATCAGTGTGATAAATTGCATACAGTAAGTAATATTGTTTATTGATTTTCTTTTTATTCACACAAATTAAGGTATTTACAATGTGTTGTACTTATATTTAATTATAGAGATATGACAAACAATATAAAGAAACAAGTAATGAAAATAAACCAACAAATCGACCAATATTAGAAATAGCCATAGCCTGTCATAATTCTTATCCTATCTGTAAAGGTTCCATCCCATACCTAAATTCTGAAATACATATTAAATATGTCTCAAAAGAATGAGAAAGCCAATCTGAAAGACCTAAGCGAAACAATTTATTACTTAGATGATATGTATTTTAGACATGTGACTGCATCAATCTTTTCCCTAAATTAATAAATAAAAAAATAAAAAGTGTGAAATCTTCTACAATTTACGGCAGATATATTAAAATAAAGAACTGTCTTCAGTGTTTGATGGTCAGCATACAAAATATATGATTATATATATGACTAGGAAATAAATTATTATTCCATACCTATTTATGAAACGTGGCAAAGTGTAACTGATAAATAAATGGCTTGTTTAGTTTTTATTTTATAACTCAAAGAAAAATCTTTGGTTTTGTCTTTTTGAAACTTTATGCTAATTTAATGTTTGGCATTCAGTATTGAATATTTTATCAGTCACCTTATAAAAAAGTTTAAAAAAATGAAAATTATTTACAAATATCATGTCACCATGTGCATTAAAATTCTATATCTAACTAGAACTAGTTTAATGCACGTGGTGTCTCAATTTTAAGAGAGGAACTTAAGACTGTTGTCCTTAAAGACCTTTCATTAAACCAACACGTCGTTGATTAATTGACAAGTAACAACGAATTTTGACAAACATTATGAACCGTATTAAAAACCAAATTTTCTTTTACTTTTATATTTCATTCACTTCTTCATACAAACGAACCAGATGACTCCTGAGCAACATTTTTAGTGTAGTGTGGTACAAAATTAAATTAACTTAGTCTCATAAGTGTCTGTACAGTTCATCAAAGTCGAACCCGGTGTCGTAGTATTGGCCTGGGTACCCGTGATTGCCGTGATTACTGTAATCCCCGTGACTGCCGTGATTACCCTGATTGCCGTGATTGTCCTTAAGCCATGCGGACTTCACAAAATCGCTTCCCCTTTCCCCTATCATGATCACAGCTGCGTTGGTATTACCATGCACTATCTTAGGCATTATCGAGGCGTCGATGACTCTAAGATTCTTTATTCCATGAACTCTTAGCTCTGAATCCACCACAGCACTCACGTCATGCTTAGGCCCCATTTTGCACGTTCCTACGGGATGGAAAATAGTTGTGGTGTAAGCCATAGCCACGCACGCCCAGTACTCGTCGGTTCCAAAGTATAAGTGCTCGCATGCTGGTAAAGGAGTTCTATTGACTTCGATTCCGTAGTGTTTGAAAATCTCGGTATTCTCAAGATTCAAACTCTGCTTGGCACCTTCCACGATTCTCAGAAGATCGATTTCTTCGAAGAACGTATTGGCGTGTATCACTGGGTGGCCAAAAACAGGATCTGAACTATTCAGAAGGACTCGACCACGGCTTTCCGGACCCAGTAAGATGGGTCTTGCCATCAAACCATTATAATAAGCCAGGGGTAACACTGCGGTATTGTACGTTAGAATAGGATTTTTTAGGAAGTTGTCCACGTTGACTGCATCCATAGAAATTTGTATATCTGGTCTACCGAGTTCTTTCTCGTATTTGGTTTGTATGAACGCGTTAGCTTGGAGCGGTCCTGAGCCTGATAAAGGACCTTCTCGCGCTTGTTTCCAGGTGAACACATCCTTCTTTCTCTCTTCGTCGGAAACAATGGTAGCGGAATAATTCGTCAGTTGGAAAACAACCCCATCGATGGTAGTGTGATCTTGTAAGTTGAATCCTACGGCTAGGTCTTTTAGAACGTGGATGTTGTTTTCCTCCAAGTGGTGTGCTGGTCCGATACCGCTCAACATGAGTAGGATCGGGGAATTTAAGGAACCAGCGGAAAGGATAACTTCCTTGTGTGCGATTGCTTGAACCAACTTGCCTTTATGGAGGTATTCTACACCGAAAGCAGTTTTGGTTTTAGGGTCTATGAGTACTCTGGTGGCGTGTGAATTGGGTTGTACGGCCAAATTCTTCCTGTTGTTTCTTATGGGCCTTATGAACGCTCCGTTGGTACTAAGTCTTTCCCCATCCCTAGTGGTATGTTGAAGCAGGCTAGTTCCAATCATTCTTTCAGTGTTTTGATCCAAGTATTCCAAACCTAATTCCTGATACGCCTTGAGGATTGCCAGTGTATTCTCGTCTTGGTAAGGGAAATATTCCACAGTTTGGTACCCGCCAGATCCATGGTAATACGCTTCGACCTTGCCTAGATTCCTGTTGTCTTCGGATTTGATGAAATATGGCAGGACGTCGGCATAAGACCACCCCTTGTTGCCTTCTTCTTGCCATTCGTCGAAGTCCTTGGGATGTCCTCGGATGTAAATCATGTAATTGATGGTGGAGGTTCCACCCATAACTTTGCCTCGAGCCCAGTTACACTGTCCATTGTCCCTGGCCAAGCAGCTGTGCGGAGATGGTTGTGTCACGTATCTCCAGTCAAGGCTGGAACGTTGCAGCAGCGGCGGAAACGCGGGAACATCTGCTATTTCTGGTTCTTCGTCACCCGCTTCCAAAAGAAGAACCTAGAAAAATATCAAACTAAGTCATATGGTAACTATAACAATGTTCTGAGTGTATTATCTTTTGAGCACCACTTATATGTTTAAAAGTCATGAACATCAAGAGATTTTTTTTTATAAAATGAGGACAAAAAATGCTGTTCGCTGCATTTTATTAACCACAGGAAACCTTGGACAAATATATGCTTTCATTGAACATAATATTTGCAATTATGTAGGTTCCTACAATTACAGTTAAAAGCACTTAACAGTAACTTCGACAAATCCACTGATAGACTACAGGATAGTATGGAATATGTATAAAGGGTTGCATAATATTTGAAAATTACATTATAGCGTTTTACATTGACAATTTATTCATGAATAAATTGACGAAGTTCTTCATGAATTCACGAATTTATTGGTAAACATTGTGGTTTTATACCGCTACAGACTTTGTCAAGTTTTTTGACGCATGAATCAGTTCTACCAACAAATCAAAGAAGCAAACAAATTTCAAAAATGTCACACTTGTCCAATTTCTTGATGAAGTGACTTCATGAATTAATTCATCAATAAATTGTGTATGTAAAACAGCTTTTAGATCTGATTAGATAATGGTGTCAATTACATTATGTAATATTTTATAGAAAAAAGATAATGATCCAAAAAAAATTCTGACAAGTAAGAATAATTTATTTCTCTCTGTGGATTTATCTCATCAACTTCAAAAGGCAATTATTTAAAAAAATTTCGTGGTACTCTTTCGAATAAGAATTTTTGAGGATTGTAAAGTGGACACCAAATTAATGTGGCATATTTAAGTTCAGAATGGACTTGTGCAATTCATTTGCATTTTCATATAAATTTAAATGTAGCTCGTTTCCAGTACACAAGTCTCGATATTATTTAAATCATATTGCAACCTTAAACAATAATCAGTCATTTACAACAAGAAAAATGTTTATATCCTCAGCTTAGAAGAGTATGTAACAATTTGTTACATCATGTAAATCATTAACATATAAAATGAATTAAAGCAGTCTTAAGTTTGGTCCCTGTGGAACCTCTGATGTAGCAATATTGAGCAGAATTGTAACTACTACATGAGATATATTGTACTATTTTTGGTATCACCCAATAAAATTTAAAGCATTTGAATGTAAATTGAAACATTGCAGTTTACTGATAAAATTTAATTATCAATTTTATTGAAGGGCTTTGAAAAATCTGTGTTACATCTGCCTTACCTTCTAAGATATTTAAAATATATTGGACATATGTAACTGCAGACTTGTTAGTATCAAAACCATGTTGATTACCTCTATGTAACATCATGCTTAGAAAAGTAAATCCTGTCATATATTATCATTATACTGATTATAATTTTCAATGACTGTCACAATTTTTAAATATTGGACAAACTTTAGGTTTTCCATCGCTTAGGAAGAACATTATCCTTGAAAGAAAGATTAAACAATTTTCAAAACATTGGATGAGGTAAAACGGTAAGTTTTAAACACCATTTACATTTAATAAATTCTACCTAATATTAACCGAGGAATTCAAAAACGCAATAATATACAGGGTGTACAATTTAAAATAAGTTATGTAAAGCCCACACGAAATGCAAAGATAAAAATATTCTCTTTACATGGCCGACATAATTCCAGGCAACTTTTATTAAAACCATTTTCTTTATAAATTATACTGTTACAGAGTTACAGAAAAATCCTTCTTAGGTGGAACATCCTGTAGATATGACAAAAAAAATTAGAATTTTTGTTAATTGTTGTTTCAACACATTGAATATAAACAGTGTCATTAATTTGTTGTAATTTATTTATAAATAATATTATTGCATATATTCATATGGAAAGGATATAACTTGATTTTGATGAAAGAAGTCTTGATATGCAGGCCGACATTTTCATATTTTATTACTAACACTATAGTAAGATCGTATTCGATGCAAAGTAGAGCAAAAAGTTGTCGGTCTTTTATCAAAGGAAAATCGTGTCATCATTTTTAGGATGCGTAAGATAAATCATTTCAAATTTAAAATGAAATTNCTTAGGTGGAACACCCTGTAGATATGACAAAAAAAATTAGAATTTTTGTTAATTGTTGTTTCAACACATTGAATATAAACAGTGTCATTAATTTGTTGTAATTTATTTATAGATAATATTATTGCATATATTTCATATTGAAAGGATATATAACTTGATTTTGATAAAAGAAGTCTTGATATGCAGGTCGACGTTTTCATATTTTATTACCAACACTAGTCTGGTATCAGGGACTGGTATTTCTATGTAAAAGTGATATTATACACCCTGTACATTAATTACTTTATCTGAATACTTGACTATTATTATGAAGTAATATGTTAATAATAACCTAGTTAATATACTTCATTTGAATGGTGTAGACAAAAAAATTATGCAAGGTAAACCTAGATTGAAAGTTCACAATTTTTTTCTTAACTATATTTAGTTATAATGCTGGGAATATTGTAATATTGGAATAATATACTTTGGCATAAGAATGTCAAGCAGTTTTATGTAGAAATGAAAGTAATTACTTGACTTACTATTAGATGCGAGTATAAGAACTGTTCCTGTTGAACGGGAATTATTTCAAAACATTAGTAAAAAGTATAATTGAAAAATAGAGTTATAAACATAGTTTACCACAATTTATTCCATATTGTTCGTGTCTAATTGGTACGATTTATCGATATTTTTGTAAATAATGGTTACTAATATGGAGTTCATAATATGTAAGGAAATGTGAAAGACTAATTAATAGCACCTTTATTTTTTTGGAAAAAATCTAGTTTCAGTTTTACTTAAGGGACTAATTAACTCAATTGAAATCTTGTTCGTAGCTAGATTTCTAACTAAACCAACTTGCGCCTACCTATTAAAAAAATTATCTACTGAGATATAGCTATATGAATATCGCGAAACTACATTAAAAAGGCTATATTTTAGTAAGTGTTGACTTTTGAAAGTAATAAAAATATAGTGAAAAAGTGAAGTTTAATTATATTAGAATACTACCAAATACTCGACGGTCTTTGTAGTAAGAAACTGTTTGTTTTTCCCGGGATAAAACTGAATAAAACGTTCTTAGCGAATTCTATGTTTTTGGTAGACAAATAAGCATATGTTTATGTTATTTGACTGTCCCTATATCAAGTGTAATAGAATTATCTTAAAATAGTAGGGTTTTAGTAAACAGATTCTAAATAAAAAAATTCAAATGCTATGCAGTCTAACTAATCTTATTGTAAACATCGACGTGTTAAATTGAATTAATTTTTTAAGCAACTGTAATTGACAATCGAATGAACACTCTTCCATCGCAAAAACAAGTTTCACGAGATTCGAATTTGTTTTCGGATGAAAAATGCAACACAGCCTAGTACTTCCCATGACTCAAAGCAACAATGCACTTTACTGACAATCTATTCCGCGTAAGAACAATGGAAGAAAACTAATTGTATCGTAAGGAAGCAAAATAAGTAGATCACAAGGAATTCGAACCTGAATCCAATTTTCAGCTCTAAATTGAAATGATACGTCAAATTACGAGCAAGGTTTTTGGAGGAGTTGCCACAGTTGATGAAGAGGAAAGAAATAACAGGCGGCAAATGTCTTGGTAGAGCAGGGAATTTGTAGCATGTCCCACTTACGTCAGATTCTTCTGTAGTTTTGGTAATGTCGATGATACTAAAAAGTGTCGCAATGTAAAAATCTCAGCATATTCTCCATATTTTCAAATTTCTCGGTTAAAACCCGTTGTCCAAAAAATAAGGTGAATTTGTGTAAAAAATAAAATCTTTATTTATGCTTCCAAATCAATTTCGTTGCCTTCAAAATAATCCCCACCTCAATTTATGCTAACGTTTTTCCAACTCTAGAAAAAGCCTGAAAGCCTCTGCCTTCTTTAAAGTCTTTGTACCACTTGTAAACATTTTTTTGCGACATAACCTCATCACTGAAAGCCTTCTGTAACATCCTCAACGTTTCCGCGGCAGGATATTCATTCCGCAAACAAAATTTAATGCAAATTCTTTGCTCAAGAAAATCAGACATTGTAAAAATCGATGAAGTCACTTTCGTATGTTTACAAAAACATGAGTAGCTCTGCAGCAATTGAACATATTGCCTTGAAACTCTGCATAGATATCAATGACAGTACTACCAACCTACAAAAAAATAATTGTGTGCTTTCATATTAACCGCAAATTTTAAATAAGAACACAATGTACATAAATTATTGCATTTTTTTATTTCTCGTTGAATTTAAGGCCCATTTTAATAAACAAGTGTTGAATAATTTGTGGGTACACATGCCGCAAGTGACCCATTTTTAAGCATTACGTCAAGAGCGCCAGCAGGACGCCGCCGGACGCACCAGCGTTCCAGGAAGGGTCTACGGTGGACTGGCGCCGGCGACCAGATGCTTACTCATATACCTACGACCGACTCCACACACAGGGACTTTCTACCAAACATTCAAACCGACAACACATCTTTTTCCACAAGCTTAGTTTTCAATAAAATAGTTTATTTATACCGTTGAGAGAGCGTTTTATTTTTGCTGTTCAGCTAAAGTAACCCTCAAATTGTACTGCTGTGATGTTATTAAATGACATTTGCAGCAATATTTGGATTTTATTTGATCTTTGCAGGAGAAAAGGACACTGACGTTGAGTTAGAAAAGGAAGCGATTGCTTTTAAAGATTTTTTACTTAGATCCCCTTAAGAAACTGTAAATTTTAGTTCAGATAAAGTTTTGTATAAAACGAACGCTATTTAAATACAAGTGATCGTAACTTTCTATGGAAAGTAACTGATACTGTCGTATTTAACAAAATAGAAGTTTATATGGCACAGTAAATTTCGACATATACGTTTAGCCATAAACAGAGAGAAAGTCGATATAAATCTAATTGTAACTACCTAAATGTGAAATAATTTAAAAAAGCGTTTTCTAAATACTATAACAAT